TTTTTTTTAAGTTTTTAGTTAAATTCCAACTAGCCAACATACAGTGCGATACTAATTTCACGCGTACAACCCAGTGATGCAACACTTACATACAACACCCCGTGCTCATCACAAGTGCTCTCCTTAAGTAACACTTCTTTTAAAAGTGATTTCTATGTGTTGCCTATCTTCTATTACATTCTACTGTAGTTTGGTGCTTTGTATTGCATTCTTTTCCTACTTTACTAATGTTTAAGGCATTTCTGATTTTAGTGTCAGTTTGCCCTTATTGAATTTGTAAGATTTTGTAGCATTAAATGATAAAAAAATGACAGTCATTATTTTATCTCTCCTTCACCAGGCTTTTTACCGCATTTTTTATTTTACAATGACAGTTATAAATGACACGAAGAAACTTATCTAAAATATATTCTGCAGCATAAATTTAGATATATTTGACTGCCACTGTATGGATTTAGCTTAGATTTTTAAAACTTTGTGTTTTTGGAATTATTTTGAATTTACGTAAAAGCCACAGACATAGCACACAGAGCTCCTGTGTACCCTGTACTTCAGTTCTCCAGTTGTTAATGTTTCTGACCCTCCTGAGAAGTCACAGACATGATGCTCTGCTGCCCTATCCTCCTTCAGTGTGGTTTCCTAGGTAGAAGGACATTGTCCTACGTGACCACAGGGCAGCCATCCAAACCCGGAAATTAACATTGATCCAGTGCTACCTTCTAGACCACAAGCCCAATTCAAACTTCATCAGTGATTTCAACAATGCCCTTTATGTCCAAATTCAATTCACAGACCACGTGTTGTATTTCGTTTGGGTGTATTTTAGTCTTCTTCAATCTGGATCAGTTTTTCATATTTCCTTATTTTTATGATCTTGATCCTTTTTAAAAAGTATAAGCTGATAACTTTACAGAATGTCCCTCAGTTTGGGTTTGATGATGTCGCCTCCTGATTTATGCACTTGGTGGGCATACCGCTGAAATGAGGCTATATTCCAGTGCCTTGTAACAGAAGCTATATAATGCTAATATCCCTATGAACTTTTATCTCTTGAAGATTGTATCTACCAGGTTTTTGTACTCTAAAGTTAATAAATATATTGCAGTTCTAAATCCATAAGTAATTTATAAGTGTTTTATGGGGAAGTACTTTGAAGCCATGCAAATCCAGTTGATTCTCATTTGTGGGTAGTTGTGTTCTATAAAGTCACATGAACATTGAGTTAGCGAATACAGAAGCATTGCTCTAGGGAAAACACAGGATTGGATTCCTGTCACAACATGATCATCAACCAATCAACACATAACCTTGTTTTATGTATGTTTCTGTTCGAAGACCCTTTATTCAATATATATTGTTTGTTCATTAACATTGAACCTACGGCCAACTAGCAGTATGGCTCATGCCTGAAGGAAGTATATCTAACACATGTATTTTCTCTACATGGCACATCACAGCCTCTTAGGAAAGCTAGACAGCATTTCAGCACTATATCTGAGGGCCATTGAAACAGGGAAATCACTGAAAACACAAAAATGCTAAAAATATGACAGTGTCTTGTGAAAAGGACACTTGCTTGCAGCATGAAAGCTGACAAAGGAAGACAGTGTGAGATGCCTCGTGAAATCTTAGCCAAGAAAGTGTGTGTCCTACAACTTAAATTTTTTTGCCACTTGGTGCAAGTCCTTGAATGACTACCCACTGTGAGTATTGATTTGGGGGTTACACATAAATTGTAGCGAGTGGGCAAATTTGAAAATACTAAATCTGTAAATAATGAGGATTGACTGTATCTTGTTTCTATTAAACTTTCACTTACCACTTTTAGCATCTGTTGACCTTAAATTGCTTCATATTTGACTACTTGGGATCCTTCAAACTGTCTTTGGTGTGTCCTTCTGACATATCCCCATCATTCTCTGAGCACTTTACTTTCTTGTTTAACAAGATTTTCCGGGCTCATTTTGTATTTTCTCTGCCTTAGCTCTGAAGTGAGACATTTCTCCAAGGAGCTCTGGTTCCTTTGAGTGGAAAATGGCCTTTAGATACCAAGCACCGGGTGCTAGGTGTGCTCATTGTTATTAGGGTGTTATAACTTCTAAACTGTGTAGTAGACAGAATTAGGAAATATATGTATGTACACACACTCACACATATCTATCATGTCATCTTTATCCATCTATTGTCTATCATCATATCTATCAATCATATTCTATCTGTCAGTCTGTCTATTCTGTCCATCTATCCCATGACTTCATACCATTACCTTCAGTTCCAATCTGATATCTAATCTATCCCCTGTCCATATTTGTAACTCCCTTCTCTGGCCATTAGAAAGCTGACTGCCATTAGTTTCAATGGACTAACTTACTCTTCTTATATTTAAACCAACTCCCAGCCCCACCTGCCAAAGACACAAGCCTGGATATCTGGCCCTTTGTTCCTGCAGGGCATGTACGCTGAAGGTTTAGCTCCAACAAAGGGAAGGAGGAAGGTGGAAGAAAGGAGGAAGCTAACTTAAAGTTGTTGACTTTCAACTTTTGCTAAATTCTTCTTAAATAACACCAGTTTTTTTTGTTTTATTTATTTATGAAAGAGAAGACAAATATTACATATATTTTTAGTTAGCTTTGAAATTAGAGGGCTATTTACCACACCAAATGGGTATAAAGGAAAAATCAAGTTTTCTATAACTACTATCTTTTTTTTTAAAGTTTATTTATTTAAGTAATCTCTACACCCAACATGGGACTGGAACTCACGACCCTGAGATCAAAAGTTACATGCTCTTCCGCTCTTCTGACTGAGCCAGCCAGGCGCCCCTATAACTAGTATTTTTTAAAACATTCATGTGAGACATATGTTATTTTCTTGGATTAAAAAAATTTATTGTATAATTTCACCAGATGTTTTAGATTCAACAATATTTAAATTTAATATACCAAGTAAACTTAATTTGAATCTCCAAATGTTGATAGAAAATCTTCTAATTTTTAAATTTTATTTTATTATTTTAATTTTTTTATGTTTTATATATTTTTTTAAGTAGGCTCCACACCCAATGTGGGGCTTGAACTCATGACCCCAAGATTAAGAGTCCCATGCTTTATTGACTGAGCCAGCCAGGCATTCCTCTAATTTTTAAATTTTAGATCTATTGATTTGCATATTTATAAGAGAATATTGGGTAATTTTATGAAGTAGTTTAATTTTTTTTTCTGCTGTGTTTGTCCATGTTAAAAAATGAAGTATGCATCTTAATTTTTTTTAAATGTTCATTTAAACTTTAAATGATCAAATTAAGATATAGAACATTAAAATTAATTTACATTTTAAAATGATTAGCAAATAGTCTTGACTTCCTAAGTTTTAAATTCTGGTGTATAGGTCATAAATTATAGCTTTAATAACAAGTTTTGCTTAATTTTTATGAAATGATTTTATTATGTTGTAGCGTAAGAGGATAACTGTTCTTTTCTTTTTAAGATTTATTTATTTATTTTAGAGAGCAAGAGAAAGAGCACACAGTCAAGCAGGGGGAGGGGCAGAGGAGAGGGAGGAGAATCTCAAGCAGACTCCCCACTGAGCATGGAGCTCAATGTGGGGCTCAATCTCAGAACCCTGAGGTCATGACCCGAGTCAAAATCAAGAGGCGAATGCTTAACTGACTGAGCCACCCAGGCGCCCCAGGGCATAACCATTCTGATAACTGAGATGACTGTACCTGTCAGAACTAATGCAGCTTATCTTTTCCATGATACATTCCAAGATATGTACAGATCACATAAATGTGGGTTAATTCACATTATAAACATGCAAAAATGCAAAAGAATATGCACAAGAATCTTCTTTTATTCCTCTTTCCCAATCTTATTCCAATTACAGAATTTATTGGTGTTGTATATGTTAGGAAGTATATATATTCAACCACATATAAATATGTTGTTTTGGTTTGTTTGATTTTTACTTTGATATTACATATATGTATATGTATTTACATACTCATGTATATGTATATTTCTGCAGCAGCTTGCTTTATTCATTTATAAAAATATTTCTTGGAGTTCCTTTTATGCCAGCACATATAGCTCTGTATCATTTTTAGCTACTGCATAGTATTTCATTATAGGGCTGTGCCATAATTTATTTAAACATTTTCCATTTAGTCTTTTTCCTTAAATTTTTGCTATTATAAATAATGCTGAAATGAAGATACCTGGACACACATCTTGAAGCATATATATATGGCAAGTTCTGTAAAGTAAATGCAAAGACTTAAAGATGAGACTTTTCTCTCTTCCTTGAGAGGCAGCTGGGCCGGTCCTGAGCCCCCACCTCTGGGCTCTTCTCCTTTGGAGATCATTTGTCTTTCTTCACCAGTCCAAAGTCCCTGGGAGTATCTGACCTGGTGACCTGACCCTTAAGCCCTTTTAGCTGCATCATTCTCTGTTTCATAATGAGGCTGGAAGATTAAATGTCCAGAATCATGCACCAGTTCCCCTGCTGTGGGTATCTGCAATGCGGGGTCAGGGATGTGACAACTCAGAAGTGGGTTTCTCAGGGAAGTGCTGGTTGAATGAAGTAGAAACCATAATGTAGCACTGTACTGCAGATACTTTGCGCATTTAGTAGATTCTTGGGTTTTAGCAAAAAATAACATTGTTTTAATTAAAAAAATGTAAACAATTTATCTTAAGCAGTTTTTAGAACAGGAGTCATGGGTTTGGTTTTTCTTGTAAGGTTATTTGTGTCTGGATGTGTTTTCTGCTACTTTATTAAATTTCCTCATCCTACTTGAAAGATTTTCAGCAACCCCAAATCTGTTTAATAAAGGGGGTGATTTCTAATCAGTCATCAGGTTTTTCTGTTTTTATTCTCTATTCAGTAGTCTCGAATATTGCTGAATGGCTATTTCCAGTTCATTTCAAAAACAATTCAATCTTATTTTATTTTCCATCCCTTATTTATAACATTCATTTGTCATTTTTGTCATTTTGTAGACCTACCAAGAGCAGCTGTCAGGATCTTAAGCAACATGACATTCCTTTTTGTGAGTTTGTCATACACAGCTGAGAGTGCCATTGTAACTGCTTTCATTACCTTCATTCCCAAGTTCATCGAGTCACAGTTTGGTATCCCAGCTTCCAATGCCAGCATCTACACTGGTAAGGCACTGCCGTTAGAGCTCCTTGAAAACATGATCATTTTTGACCACTAACCTAAAATGCAATGAGTGAGGAGAAAGTTCATTCTAACATCAAAGTGTTGAATAAATTCATTAACAGCTACCTGCCTCCCCTCACCCTCCACCCCCATTTTAGGAGGAGAAGGTCTTTGAATGTTTTCTTGTTGACTCAGTTGGTGTTACTGTGTGCCATTTTTTACCAACTGTCTTTTGGGAAGGGAGAACTTTGCATAATTATGTTTTTATGGTTCTCAGTTAAAAAGAATGAAATAGGCAATGGCATTCAAATTTAAATCTTAATATATCTTTTTATGGGTGGCGTGAGTCAAATTAAAAAAATGATTGAAAAAATTTTAAATGGATAATCTGAAATAGAGATGATCAGGTGCATGGTATCAGGATTTCCCCTTCATGAATATAAACAGATTTTGATTGAATAACAAGAGATGCTTGACTTTATAAGGAAATCTATGAATTTTGTTTTAGAAGGTGTTTTACGTCTGGGAAAATGGTTTTTGGAGACTATGATATGGGTACCTATTGTATGTAGGACTCAAATCTTTTTTCATAGTAAACTGAGGGGGAGACGAACCATGAGAGGCTATGGACTCTGAGAAACAAACTGAGGGTTCTAGGGGGGAGGGGGGCAGGGGCATGGGTTAGCCTGGTGATGGGTATTAAAGAGGGCACGTATTGAATGGAGCACTGGGTGTTATATGCAAACAATGAATCATGGAACACTACATCAAACACTAATGATGTTTTGTATGGTGACTAACATAACATAATATAATAAGATTAAAAAAAATAAAACTCACTATGACCATAAAAAAAAAATTGGGTGTTTAGAAATGTGGAAACACTAATTCTCAGATATTGGGGGAATTTTCAGTGTATTATATCATAATATTTTGGATATATCTTTAGTGGTTTCAGAGATGGTCAAATGACTGTATCTGCCTAAGGCTTAATCTATTAATAAAATATTATTTAAATAGTTAAGTGGAGATTTATTATAACTTTTCTGATGACGCTGACTACCACTTTATTTTATCCTCCACATCCACATTCAAGCTTAGCAAGCTTGAATTATCTGAAAATTAACAAGCAAAGTTATATTTTTATAGAAAGAGAAGTTGACTTGAAATATTTGGGTAATCGCTTTGTTCTCTTCTTTCACTTTGCACACGAAAAGACATACATTTGGGTTGTGGGTCCACAATCGCAAATATTTTTATAAAGAGTATACTGCTTTGGATCATTGTAATGGTCACCCAAAAATATGTTTTTCTCTCTTTGTGTTTCAGAAATATATGTTTTCCTTGTATTAAGGTAAAATTTACAGATTACTTAACAGTTTGCCAGAAAATCTGAATGACACATTTCTAGTTTAATTCTTACACTAACCCTTTGATTGAGTGACAATTCTTGGTCAGGGAAACCGAGAGTTGTCTTGTAGCTAGATCTGAAGCCACACATCTGATAAATGTAGTCTCAAGCATTTCCCTAACCAAGTTTCAGTATTAGTAAGTGTTACTGGCAAGAGTCATAGTCAAATAGATTTGGGACTTGCTGAATTAAAGTATTACAGAGTTGTTTTCTATAAGACTCTTCACAACCCTTACTATGCCAGTGTGCATTGTGAAACTCCCAGACACAGGCTCAAGGTACTGTCTTTCCCAAATTGATTTGACCATGAAATTGAACTTTTGAATGGCATCTCTCCCATAAGCAGTTTTCTTCAGGATACACGTTGAGAAACACTGCTATTCTCTCCTGTGTGTCCCTGTTCCAGCCAGACTAGGGAGCAGAGCTGTCTGGGTCATCTCATTCCCCTCCAGATATGCCATTTTAACCAACCAGCAGTTGCTGGGGCAGTGGTACAGTACAGAGCTAGGTAGGAATTGATGCATATTGAATCATATTGACCAAGGCCATCATTTAATTACTGGTAGAGGCAGAGGGCTAGACATAAGACTCCTTGTGGAAAAATAGAGTAAAGGGTTCAGCTGGACCTGGGGTGTTTGGCTGCAGAGTTGTCACTGAATACGGCCCCTTGGCGAAGGAGGGTGCAGGATTAAATAAAACTAGCTCACGGAATTTGTTCATCCTGTGTTCCAACATCAGGATTAAAAAAGCAACATCACACAGTGCCAATTCCATTCTGGTTTTGTCATCGGTAGGTTTTTGTTTTTTTTTTTTAAACATTGTCAATGCAATTTATACTATGTTTGATAGTCTCCTGTGTTCTGATAAAACACTTTTTTACTCCTAGCTCATACCTTTTCCTTTCTTTCCAGATAGATAATAAATAATAATGGTCAAAGATATTCAGATTAAGAGTAGAAGGTTGCCTGTCATATTACAGTGAGATGAACAAGGATGATAATCTCTTTTAAAGCTTACTTTGATTTTTGAATTTTTATTAATTGAATCCTTCTTACCCTCTGAGCAGAGATTTGTATTTTTAAAGGACTTACTTAGTTTAATTGAGTCTTTTGTTCCTTTCTATGCATGTAAGTCACATGTAGAATTATTAAGAAATGTATCTGAACAAGAAATTTAATATAGTTTTTTTTTTAAAGATTTATTTATTTAAGAGAGAGAGAGCGCAAGCAGGGGAGGGGCAGAGGGAGAGGGAGACAATCAGACTGCCTGCTGACGCTGGCTGGATCCCAGGACCCTGAGATCATGACCTGAGCCGAAATCAAGAGTCAGACACTTAACTGACTGAGCCACCCAAGCGCCCAGAATTTTAACATAGTTTTAATTTCTCATCTGACGAAATTTTTGAGTTAAAGTTCTTTTTATTTTAATTTAAAAGGATTATTTGAATAAATACTTTAACCCTCCATAGCCATTTGCTTGTATTGTGTTATATGGTAGGGATGAAGCTCCATACATGTATCAGAACACAGGCCTTTGCTCACTTTCTCTCCCATAGCCCTTGAGCACCGGCTCTCATAGAGCTGTACCCTGTTTGTGTATGACCAGGGTACATGTGCGTGTGCGTGTGTGTGTGTGTGTGTGTGTCAGACTCAAACCAGAACCATAAGTTGTTTACAGATCTGGCTGTGTTTGTATTTATGCAACCATGAATCCAAGTTCACGTTACACCCTTCCCATTTGTGGTCTTTCTGCTAACCCATTTAGGGTCACATTTGTTGACTGAAATGAACTATATGGAGGTTGATGCTTTGGAAAAGGCTGAAATGATGGCAAGAGCCCTGAAGGAGGAGGCAGAACAGCCTTGAATCCTGCCACTGCTGGTTACTAGCTGTGTGACTTTTGGCAAGTCATTTTACTTCCTCTACTTGAGCTAAAACTGAAGCTTACCTGTGTCTTGAGGACAAGAGCTCCTCTGTCTCTATGTTCAGTGTTGTTGTGAGGATCCGATGAAGTAGTGAATAGCGATTTGTTCTGAATCTTCCCAAAGTTCAAGTGGGCACAGCAATATAAATTGAAAAACACAACTTAATCATATATTATAGGAAAGGGAATTATTATTGATGCTGTTGATGGTAGCTTCTTATATTTGAAGTCATGCTGCTTGAACAGGTCTGAGAATAAAACCTCTATAATAATAATGATGATAATAAAACAGCTGCTGACTTTACTGAGTGTTTATTAAGTAGAAGACACTATCTAAGCTTTTTCATGTGGACATTATGCAATGTAACCAATGGCTATGTAGTAGGTGTTCTTGATTACGCCCATTTTCCAGATGAGGAAACAAAGGTCTAAGGAGTTTTTAACAACTTGCCCTACAGACATGCAAATAGTTAGAGCCAGGAGATAGTATCTTGGAGTATATAAAGATCCATATGTAATTTTTATTGAAATACTATAATAAGTCTATGCTATTTTATCATTTCCAGGCAGTTTAATTTTTTTTTTAAACTATTTTAGAGAAACAGTATTCTAAGATTCAACTTCCACCCTGTCTAGGGCAGCTTTTGCCACTGAGCCATGGTCAAGAACATTCATTTTCAGAACACCAGCATCTTTCAGCATCACCTTTGCTTTCCTGGGGTCCTGCCCTTGTGTGTGCAGAATTATAAGGGGTTAGACGGTAGTTTGTCTTTGCAAGAGAAACGGCCTTGGAGAACTCTGTTTTGCTTTTCATTGGAGAATAATCAAAATACTTATTTCTTTGGTAAGGGGATTAGGTTGGGGTGTGATTTTTTTTTTTAAATGACTATCATTTTTATTGTTGTCTAATTAACCAAATATTTGCCATCTGTCTTCCGCTACTGATTTGGGGGTTGTTTTTGATGAGATTTAAAGCAGTGCCACTGAATTCAGACTGCAACCTCTGGGAGTCACTGCACGCTTGGAAGCCAGAGAGACCTGCACATGCTTTGATTTGCTTCATTCTTCTGCTTTTCTATACCAGTTCTTTAATTTTATAAGAATAGTTTTTAAAAATACATTTTTGTACTAATTTTATAAACGTACACATAGATTTTTAACATTAACATTAAACTTTTAAGTGCAAATGGACCATATTAAGTATGGCGACACTTGGCGTCACTGCCCATTTCCAAGGTCAGACAGTGACCTTGGACTCCACAAGACGTGGGCAGGCACTGAACACGATATGCTCAGGGAGAGGAGAGGAAGGTCCTTAAAAACCCAACATCCTGCAGCCGCTGCTAGCATCTTCTCCCTTCTATCCTTTTAAACAATCTTGAGATAAATAGAGGCTATTAGGACCTAAGAGTGACAATTATAGGCTCTTTGTCTTTTGGGCAAAAAGGTATTTATTATACTAAATTACATGTGTTTTTCTTCGGGGCTAATTAGAACTGTTGTAGAAGGTTATAGTGGACATTAAGTCAAGATACTCAGATTCTTTTTATTTGTTGATTAGCTAGTTAATTTAAGGCATGTTTGAGTGCCTACCACGTGGCAGGTTCTAAGCCAGTGCACTGATGGTGATGGTTAAACAGGGTTTAATTGCTCAAGAAGTCTCAGAGG